ATGAAATGCAATTGTATACCTAACCCTTAACTGTACCCCACAACTTCACAATTAAAAAAAAAAAAAAGACCTTGCTCTGAATTAGGCTTTGGCTTAAGAGGATGTTGTGGCTGGTTTGAGTTTCTATCCAGACCACTAAAACTTTCTTTATATTAGTAATATGGCTGTTTTGCTTTCTTTTCATTCATGTACTTACTGGAGCAGCACTTTTAATTTCCTTCAAGAACTTTCCAGCTGGGCACCCCTATCATCACCTATAATCCTAGCACTTTGGAAGGCCAATGCAAGAGGACCACTTGGGCCCAGAAGTTCAAGACCAGTCTAGACAACATTGCGAGACCTCGTCTGTACAAAAATCCAAAAAAAATTACCCAGATGTGGTGGCATGCACCTGTAATTCAAGCTACTCAGGAAGCTGAGACAGAAGAATCGTCTGAGCCGAAGAGGTCAGGCAGGCTTCAGTGAACCAGGATCACACAATTGCACTACAGCCTGGGTGACAGAAATAGATTCTGACCCAAAAAAAAGAAAGAAAGAACTTTTCCTTTGCATTAAAAACTTGTCCAACTCTTTGGTGCAAGAGGCCTAGCTTTCAGCCTGTCTCAGTTCTCTGCATGACTTCCTTACTAAGATTAATGATTTCTAACTTGTGATTTAAACAGTCACATGAGAGACATGTGACGCCTCTTCTCACTTGAACACTTAGAGGCTCTTATAGGGTTATTACCTGACAACTTCAATATTGTTGTGTCTCAGGGAATAGGGAGACCCAAAGAGAGGGAGAGAGACAGGCGAACCACTGGTCAGTGGAGCAGTCTGAACACATACAATATTTACCAATTAAGTTTGCCTTCTTATATGGGCATGGTTCATGGTTCCCCAAAACAATTAAAATAGTAGCAACAAAGATCACCAAGGCTGAGTGTGGTGGCTCACACCTATAATTCTAGCAACTTGGGAAACCAAGAGTTGGAGGCTGTGGTGAGCTGTGAACTTGCCACTGCGCTCCAGCCTGGGCAACAGTGAGACCTCGACTCAAAAAAAAAAAAGAAAAAGATTACTGATCACAGGTCACCATAACAGATATAATAACCATTAAAATTTTGAAATATGTGAGAATTACCAAGATATGACACAGAGACACAAAACAAACACATGCTGTGGAAAGAGCATACCAATAGACTTGCTTAATGCAAGGTTATCACAGATCTTCAATTTGTAAAATTATAAAAATAAAAGCTAGGCTCGGTGGCTCAGCCTGTAATCCCGTGCCTTTGGGAGGCTGAGGTGAGTGAATTGACTGAGCCTGCGGGTTCGAGACCCACCTGGGCAGCGAGACCTCATCTCTACAATAAATGAAAAAATCAGCTGGGTGTGGTAGCGTATGCCTATAATTCCGGCTACTCGGAAGGCTGAGGCGGAAGGATCGCCGGAGCCCAGCAGGTCGAGACTGCGGTCAACCGAGTGAGACTCCAATTCAAAACAAAAAATAAAAATAAATACAACATCTGCAAAGCACAATAAAGGGAAGGCATGGGTCACTGTCCCCAGTGTAGATATGACCCAAATGATTCTTGTATTTGAGGGTCAAATACAAAATATACACAGATATATTCCTAAGCCATGGTGGCAAAGGAAAGTTAAGCAAACTGAATGCAATTTCATGACAACACGTAAGCCTTTGTTATTCTCAGCAAGATCATGTCCCCTCTTCTTCAGATCCCCTTCAGTTTTCAAACTATGCCTACAAGAATGATAACATTAAAAGATGATAATAAGATAACACCTGTTGTGCGCCAGGCACTGTTCTTAGCACTTTATACATATTAACTCATTTAATTCTCACAGTATCACCATTTTGCAGATGAGGAAACTGAGCACAGAGAGATGAGCAACCTGACCAAGATCACAAGCTTGGATATGGCAAAACCACAGGGACCTTTCTTGAAAACTCTTTTTTGTTTGGTAGCAGCTTTTTTGAGCTATAATATACCATAATATACATATATACACATTTATACATACCACACAATTCACTCCTTTGAAGTATACAGCCCAGTTGTTTTTACTGTGTTCACAGAGTTGTCAAACTGTTACTACAATCAGTTTTAGAATGTTTCCATTACCCCAAAAAGAGACTCCACACCCATTAGCAGCCCCCATCATGGCCCTGATTTTCCCCCACACCCAGCCCTAGGGAACCATCACTCTACTTTCTGTCTCTATAGATTTGCCTATCTAGACTTTTCCATAAATGTAATCACATTATATGTAGTCCTTTGTGACTGGCTTCTTTCACTTAGCACAATGTTTTCAAGGTTCATCTATGTCATAGCATGTATCAACACCTCATTTCTCTTATGGCTAAGTAATAGGCCATTGAATGAATATGCCATATTCTATTTATTCATTCATAGACATTTGGGTTGTTTCTACCTTTAGGCTATTATGATTAATGCTGCAAAGAGCATTCATATACAAGTTTTTGTATGGACATATGTTTTCAGTATTCTAGGGGTGGACTTACTGGATCATATAACAATTTTATGTTTAGCATTCTGAGAAACTGCCAGACTATTTTCCAAAGAAGCTGCTTGATCTTACATCACCACCAGCAGTGCACGAGGATACCAAATTCTCCACATCCTCACCTGTACCTATTATTTTTAGTCTTTTCCACTCTGGCCATTCCAGTGGGTGTGAAGTGGTAGTGCATTGCTGTTTTGATTTGCTGATGACTGACAATTAATGATGCTGAGCATCTTTTCATGTGTCTATTGGCCCTTTGTATGTCTTCTTTGGAGAAATATCCACTCAAATGATTTGCCTACATTTAAATTGAGGTTTCCTTGACTTTTGCCAAGAAAAACGAGCCCTAGATGGGCATTTGGTAGGATTGTAGTGGCAGGAAGGGAATAAAATCAGATGGCATCCAGGGAGATGAAGAGGTGAGGAGACAGGCAGACCGAGGCCACTAGGCCTAAACTGAGGACAACGGGGACCCACTGAGGGACTGAGCCCTGGGTTAGAAGTCAGGAGACTGAAACCTCCCTCATCACTGGTCCTGATCCACTATGAACTTCAAACAAGCCAAGTCACTTATCTTCTCCAGGCCCCGGACTTCACCTATAAAATGGGTTTGCTAATGCCTAGCCTATGTACCTTGTAAAGTTGACAGGGAATTGAAAGTTCTGGGTGGAGAACCCATGCAAATATCAAGTCCCCATAGAAAGTAGCGTATGCACCACCCAGTCTTTCCACTCCTCAAATTCTACAGATTTTCTTTTCCACCTATGAAGTGTCCAGAGCCAGGCAAAGGAGGTTGAATGAAGTAAAGGGGGAGGGTTTTCCAGGTGGCAGTGGAAAGAGGGGGAGGAGCAAAGAGTAGACTGTTGTAGTGACAGGAACACTAACCGGGCCTCACCTGGCTGTGGGAGGGGCTGATGCTGGATCCTGAGGCTCCATGAAACAGATAGACAGCACCTCGGTTCTCCTCTTCTCCCGGGGCCCCAATGACCACGTCTGTCAGCCTGTCTTCATTCACGTCCCCCAGCACTGTCAGAGCTGCCCCAAAGCGGCCCCAGGGGTGGCCCTGCACCCCACGGAGAATGGCCTCACACCGCCACCTGCTCCGCTGCAGAACACCAGGGCCAGGCCCCAGCTCAGGCAACTCCTCCACCCACACCCAGACCCCACCCAGCCTGGGTCCCCTCAGCCACTCACTCACCCCCCTGGGCAAGGGGCACACGGACACCCGGCCCCCTTGGGTCTGCTCGTAGTAATGGGGGGCCCCGATGAGGACCAGGTCAGTGCTGCCGTCTCTGTCCACGTCCACAGAGCAGAGGGAGGCCCCGAAGTAGGAGCCGATCTGGAGGGCACAGCCTGAAGTCATGCGGCCTGCCCTGCCAGAGGCACCCTTTCCTGGGCCAGGTCCTACCTCTCCCAGGCACCAAGACCTCCCCCATGGGCCCCGAAGCCCTCTCACCCTCTCCTTCTCCTCCCCTGGCCGCTATGCCCACCCTCCTCTTCCACTGTGGCTTCCTCCATGCCCAACCTGGGTCCCAGTGACTTCAGCCTTCGGTCTCCATTGCCTGGACTCCTGGGTGAACATGATAACCTTCCCGGTGTGCTGGTGGCGGGGGGCCCCCAGGACCAGGCTTTGCACCCCCTTCCACAGGGCCAGCTCTGTGGAGTAACCTGAGGAGGCCAGGCCTCAGCACAAAGACCACCCCCTTCTCCCTCCCTCTTGCCCTCCCAGGCAGCTGTCCCCAGTTTGTCCCCACACTCCGCCACTTCAGCCTTTTCTCACCCAGGTAAGAGTCCTTCATGTCCACATTCTCCTGAGACATATTGATGAAGGTGGGACTCACGTATGGGGGGTACAGGAAGGCACCTCCAGACCAGCTGAAGCTCCCCACAGCTCCCAGAACTGGTCCGTCCTGGGAGAGAAGGATTCCAGGGCTTAATAGGCTGGAGCAAGACAGTTTATGCCAAGGAAATGCCTGCCTCTGGCTCCACTCATCCATCAGATACCCATCCCACCCTTACCTTCCCTCCTCACTCACCCCTCCCTCATCCTACCTCATCTGTCAGGTTCCCCCACTCACAGGTGTGAACACAGCACTGAAGCCCTCCTGAGACATCTCCAATTCGAAAGAACTACTGCTTGTGATCTCTGTACCTGGGGGAAGCACGTTGCTTGGGTTCCAGAGAGAAAAACAGGCTTTGCCAAGCCCAAGAAAGACTCGGCTTCAGGAGAATATAAGTTTGGAGACCAACACCTACAGGGAGCATCGGTGCCTGTGACCAGGGGACTGGTTTCAAAAGGAAAAGCATTTATGACAGGATTTCTGCAATGAGTAACTCCATCTCCAACTTACCCTCAATGGCAAAGATCTTCTCCTTCAGTTGGTTTTGAATATCCCTCAAAGCGTCAAAATTCTCCACTTTAAATATATATTCAAGGGAGGGCTTCGACGCAATGGCATTTAATTCTTTCCAAGAATGTGTCCTTTGAAAAGCCAATCCAACCTGTCTCCAGCAAAGATCAACTCAGTAAAAAACAATAAATTTAATTTGCCTGTATGTACTGGGTGCCGATATCCCACAAAAACCCCGAAGGGTCAGTTTTACAATACCCAGTATACAAATGAGAAAAATGAGGTTCAGACAGCATCCAGGACTTTAGAGATTAGGATCATGTGCCCCCAGGCTGGGACAGAATCTCCCCCTTGCAGACAGTGGGAGCTGAGAGAGCCGGGTTTCCTGCTTTGAGAGGAAAGTTGCCTTTAGAGGAAGCCATGGGAGAAAGGTGAAGGCATCCCCATGCCATACCCCAATCGCATAGCGGATGATGCCTGCCGCCTCAGCAGTGGGAATGACATCCTCATAATTCAGGGGGTCACCTTCTTTCTTCCCGTCGGTGATGACAATGAGGATCTTGGTGGCATTCTTGCGGGCTCCAGTTGAGGCACTGAGCAGTTGGTTTCTGCCAGAAAAGATGATCCAGGTGAAACTGCACTAGCACCTGATACCTCTGTGAAAATAAGGAGATGCCCCTTCCTCTGGGAGGCCCCAGACCCACAGGAGGCGCCCAGCTTGGCAAGAGCATCACAGGCTGGATTTCAGTTCCTGTCTGTCCCTTTCTCATGGAGACAGGTGAGACCCAAAGGAAGACCTGAGTGCTTTGGAAAATCTCCTGGGAGAAAATCAGGACTCACATGACTTTTCGGATGGCTGTGGCCGTGTAAGTGGCCCCTCCCAGCTGATGTACAGAATTCAAAAGGCTCAGGGGGTTTGAGTGGTGCATGAAGTCATTGAATGTGAAGTGTGTCCAGAATTTGTTGGAGAACTGCATCAGGGAGAACTGGGAGGACAACATGGGCTGGGGCTACTTCACTGGGATCTGCAGCTCTCCCCCAGCCAGCCGCCCCGCAGCACCCTGCACACTTGCCTGCCTCCCCCGGGTCACACCTGGGTGCTAGGTCTCTGGAACTGGCTCATCACAGCTGTCACGAAGCTCAACATCTTGACAAAATTGTTGGAGGAGATGCTGCCCGAGCCATCGATCAGGAACGCAATGTCCTGCTCCTGTCTTGGGCACTCTGGGGAAGGAGGTGGTATCAGTCCCCTAACGGACACTCCCAGAGCCCAGGGCCTTGGCCTTCTGGTCCCAAGAACTCACTCTCCCAACTGGAGTCCTGTGCCCACTCTGGTTCCTCTCCTCAGCAGGGGGCGGGGCTTCCCAGCCCCCAACTTAGAACAGGGCTCTTCAGTCTCTAAACTCTCATAAAGAGGCTACGACTGTGACTGAGCCACTCACCCTGCGCAGACGGCACAGTTGACAAAAATCTTCCAGTCCAGATGGTAAGAAGTTGAGGGCCTCTCCACTACCCTGACTGTCCATGCTCCTCCCCAGAACCCAATGCCACCTCTTCTCCCATGATCCCCTCCATCTAGCAATGATAGAACCCCATCCTAGCCCTTGGCAAGCATCTGTCCTCTTTGGTTAGTGCCAAATGGTATTTTTGTTCAATATTTTTACTATCATCCCAGGCAACAGCCACACACTGGCCCTGTCCTGTTCTCAACTTAAATATGGGCACCCACTCCCCTTTTGGGTGAAAGCAGAATGGGTCCCCAGAAGAGGAAGCTCCTCCAGCTCTCCCAAAGAAGAGACCCACTTCCACCTCTACCTCCCAGCTTCCCCTTTTTGCTCCAGGGGCCTCCCCGGATCATTCTGGGTGTTCTGATGGGTGCCCAGACCCCATGGATGCAGTTCAGACCCACAGAGGTGATAGAAGGCTCACCCCATTTTTAGCTACATGTCTGTCTCACCAAGGACTTGAGAACAAATGTGAAACCAAGGAGTGGCCTCAGTCTGCGTGGGTCTGGTCTGAGAAGCTTTCTGTTCCACCTCCTTGTCATTCACCCCTATCAGCACCAGAGAAGCCAGGGCCTGTGCCTCAGACTTTGCACACATACCCATGCACACACATATACACATATGCACATGCACACATACATGTGCACTGATATATACACATGCACACATACATAAACATGTGAAGGGGGACCCAAAAGAACCGAAATTTATTTATAAAAAATAGTGTATTTATTCTTACATGTTTAAATCTGTCACCTTCAAAGTACTCTCCATTGAAAGCAATACACCTATCGAGACACTTTTTCCACTGCTCAAAACAGTTTTTGAGCTCATCAATTTTGTTGCCTTTTAGTGTTTCCACCATTTTTGTTTCACCTCTTCCACACTGGCAAAATGTTTCCCTTTGAGGACTTTTTTCATTGGGGGAAATTGTTTAAAAGTTGCTCAGGGTGAGGTCCAATGATTAAGGAGGGTGAAGCACAGAGGTCATGCTGGGTTTAGTCAAAAACTGCTGAACACTCAGTGCAGTGTGGGCAGGTTACTCATCATGAAATGGTAAACGCATTGAAAGAATCTCAAAAAAAAAAGTCACTGAAGTTGAATGCAGCCTCTCACAATGCTAGCTGGTACACTGATGCTGATAAGTTCCTAAAACACTTACCTGACCAGGGAAGACTGCAAAAGGGGCTTGCCCTCCAAAAAATAATTCGTTTTGGGGGGTTCCCTTCATATATACACACATGCAAATGTACATGTACACACATGCATGTACACACATGCACCTGTATATGTGCACCCAGGCATATATACATGTGTACACGCATACACATATATGCAGATACGTGCATATGTGCATGCACTCATGCATATGCACACGTGTTCACATACATATGTGTGCAGGCATGTGTGTATTATACACATAGACATGTGTGTACATGCACATGCACGCATATGCAATGCATATGCACATGCACACATACACATATACACATATACATGCATGCACTTATATATACACTCATGCATATGCATGCATATGCCCATACATATACACATGTGGACGTACATGTGTACACATAGACATATGTGCACATGTGTGCATGCACACATAGGCAATACATCTGCACATGTGCACGCATGCACATATATACATGCACTCATACATATGCACACATACATGCATATGCACACATACACACATACATATATACGTATATTGATGTTTAGACAAATATACTGCTCAGACTGCACCCTTGCCAACCATTCCAGGAATGCTGTACAAAATAGTTGGTTATACCCAGGGGCATATTGGATGAAGATAAATTCCCTTCTCTCTAAAAATAATAGCAACTGGCCTTAACTGAGTCCTCAGCTCACGCCAGGCGCTGTGCTAAACCTGATAACGAATCATCATCTTATGTTACTTTCAGTGTTGGGTGTGTCATGATCCCCATCCAACAGATGAAGAAACTGAGGCTCAGAGGGGGTAAGGTCATAGGAAAGGGCATACAGCAGGACAGTGGTGGGACAGGATATGGAAGGAGGCAGTGGCTCTCTGCCCATGTCTGGAACCACCACACCATCTGGTAACTATTTTCTCCTGATCTCTCTTTCTTATCCACTCTGGCAGGAGTGTCTCTGGCCCCATCATACTTCCAAGTGAATGTGTGTGCTCCTCCAAAGACCTGGCGACCCTGAACACTCACCTTGCAGAGTAGCCGGGAGCCTCTGGATCTGCCGGGAGGTGGAGCCCAGTAGGAAGCAGAACCCAGTCAAGAACATGTTCTCCCTGCATGCGTGGTGCACAGTGGGGCCACAGGCCTGGGACAGAGAGGCCTGGTGGGTGGGCAGCCCCTACTCCCTTCTATCCTCCCATTCCAGCACCTCCACCCTCCACAAGACCCCCAGTCCTGGGTACCCACTTCTCCCCTCAGGACCCTCCTGTGACTCTGGGTAACTCACCAGCAACCGAAAGGGGTTGGCAGCAGTCGCCAGGGACAGGCCCAGGGACATATTAACAGCCTCCGGGGGGACTGAGGGGACAGATATATACATGGTCACTCTCAGGCTGTGAGAGAAGGCTGTGTAAGAGTTGGGCAGGGGTCACCTCAACATAGAGGTCTGACAGGTGTGGGAGGCTTCCAGGTCTTGGCAGAGCTGTGGAATGCAGAGTTGTGGACAGGGAAGCCTTGAGGGGGTTAGGAAGCCTGTCTGTCGGGGGGCGGTGTCTGCAGACAGAGCTGGAACTGGGAAGGTTCCAGAGCATGGGAGTCTGGTCCTGGGTCCCAGGTCCACCTCGGTTACCTGGAAGGCTGAGGTGGAAGGATCACCAGAACCCAGCAGGTCGACGCAGGGGCAGTGACTCACCCTGTAGGTGGATGGGCTCACATGTGCCCGACCTGTAGGCACACTGGTAGAGGCCGCCTGTTTGGTTGGCAGCCTTTATCTCATGGGGGGCTCCAACCACCACCCTGCAGGGACACAAAGCACACTGCAGGTGAGAATGCAGACGCTACAGCCCCACTGCTGCTCTGGCAGCTTTGCTTTTCCTCTCTGAGCCTCAGTTTCCTCATCTGTACAATGGCAATTAATAACAATTTAGATTCCACATAGGAGGGAATTTTGTCTATTCTATTATCTGGTGTATGCCCAGCCCCTAAGACATGCAGTAGGTGCTCAATAAATACTCGTTGAGTGACTGATTGCTACCTCACAAGGCTGTTGTGAGGACCAAGTCAGTATCTCACGTATCACATGCCTGACAATGCTCAAAAAATGTTAGCTGGAGTTATTGCGATGGCAAGACAGTGCCTACTTTCAGTACAAATATTCAGCTTGTGGGGGAAGTTGCCTCACCAAATAGAGAGGACAATTTGCAAATAATGGGGAGTGAGGGGAGCCAAGGCCCCGTGATGAAAAAGAAGTGAGAGAGCCAAAGGTCAGCCACCACTGGGCCCTCACCAGGAATTGGCATACTGGACCACGCTGTGTCCAAACCCAGCACCATCCATGTGAAAGGTTGTCAGCTCTTCCGTGTCCAAGTTGAAGCCAAGAGAAGATGACAAGCCTGGGGAGGAGGATAGGAGGAGAGCTTTGGAGAAGGGTCTTCCTTCTGTCTAATCATCCCCACCCCCCACTGGGCTCATCTCTCAGGCCTCCAGTGCCCCACTATCTCCTTCAGGAGCTGAGAGTCCCCTGATCTTCTGGACTCCTGAGCTAGTCTCCCTTCTCTTCTTCCCATGGTACAGAAACCCATCACTCTTGGCTTCTTCCCACAGTGCAGAGAGGCTCTTCGCCCATCACAAATTTCAATTTCCATTGCCACAAAGTGATATTCAAGCTCGAGAGATCATCTTTCCCCACCTCTACCCCTGGAAACCCCAGGAGGGAGAGTCCAGGAAAACTTGGGGACCAAAAGGAGGCTGTAGATACAGAACAATGTCAAGTTATTCTGCCTACTTTGGAAATCTCTAGATTGTGGAGACAACTGATCTCTCTTCCAGTATCTCATGAACTCCCCCGCAATTTTTCTTCAATGTCTTCTCCCTCCACAAACTCAGATTCCAAACCCTACACACCAACCTCCCCAAATGTCTGAGTCTCTCTCCCTGCTCACACCCTGGTCCCCCAGCCAGCCCCCCAGTTCAGGGCTCCAGCTCGCTTGGATCTGCGTCCCTCTGTCCCCCTTCTTAGAGGTTCAGACTCACCCATTAGAAAGACGAGGGCTGTCCTGATCATCACTGGAAGGTCAGACATGGAGCTCCAAGCTCCTAGGCTATTGCAGGAATGACTGGACCAAGGTACTGAAGAAGCAAGTGGGAAGAGAGGTGGTCAGGAGGCCAGAGACAGGGAAGGAAGTTGTCAGCATGACTCAGAGGTAGAGGGTGGAGAATAAGATTTAAATGAGTAAGAAGGGGATCCAGGCACCCCACATACTCCCCATCTTGGAATCTTTCTTTCCTTCTTTTTTTGAGTTGAAATCTCATGCTGAGGCCCAGGCTGGAGTGAAAAGGTACAATCCGGTTTACCACAGCCACTATCTTCTGGACTCAGGCCGCAACCTCCCAAGTAGCTGGGACTACAGGCGTGCACCATCATGCCCTGCTGATTTTTTGTTTGTTTGTTTTTTAGAGATGAGGTCTCACTGTATTGCCTAGACTGGTCTCAAACTCGTGGCCTCAAGCGATCCTCCTGCCTCAGCCTCCTGAAGTGCCGGAATTACAAGCATGAACCACTGTGCCCAGTCTCAGAAGTCTTTCCAACCAGAGATGACTTGATTTGATTCTCTTGCATTGCCAGTCTTTGCACGGGTGAACACAAATTTCCTGCCCTGCCCAACAGCTCCTAGGTTTCCTCTTGTACCAGCAGAAGGCTCACCTTGACCTGGAAATTTCAGGCAGCCGGGGGAAGAAATCCTGGTGGGAACCTTCCTCTTCTGACCTGAAAACTTTTGGGCCAAGGAGTCAGGCAGCTGGTTGCTAGGGGGAGCACAGAGTGGGTATTCATTTATTCATTCAGTCACTCAATGATTCATCATTCATTCAAGAAGCCTAATTTGAGGCTGATGATGCAAGCCCTCTTCTAGGTGGAAGAGAAAGCATAAACCACAAAGTCCCACCTCTAGGGTCAGTGTAGAAGGCAAATGACTAAATGGCAAGCAGGTTGCTATGAGCGAGAAACCTAGAGACCACAGGGTGCCTTACCCAGGTATGTTTCTGCGTACGTTTCCTGGAGGAGGTGGCAATTGAGCTGAATCTTGAAGGCAACTGAAGTTGGAAGACTATGGGGCAGCGTGTTTCAGAAGGGGCAGCCAGATGTGGACAAGGCATGAGACAGGAGAGCCTGTATGTGAAATCAGTGACGGGAACCAGAGAGTTGGGGTGGGACGTGTCAAGAGTTGAGGTCAGGGCCATTGGGAGAAGAGAAAGGGGAAGCAGGCCCCAGGCCCAGAAAGTTTAAGGCTGTTGTTTTTATCCTGAAGGCAGGAGGAAGCATCAAAGGGAATTAGTGAGGTGAGATCTTCACATTGCTATTTTAAAAAGCTAGAAAGCGGGACTGTATGGGGCGTGGTTTCTTTGGGAAATGGTTGGCGACAGATCAATCGAGAGAGGTGTTGGAGGGCTATGGATGGGCTACTGGTCATGGGAATGGACTGGAGGCTGGTCGGTCACTGAGGGGAGCTTGGTGGGGATGGATCCTGAGCTAGAGAGCACTGGAGGAGGAAGGGCATGGGGGCTAGGCCAACTTCAGTTTTGAGAAACCAGAATGTAATGTTTAAGAGTGCCGACTGTTTCAACTCCTCTGTGCCTCAGTTTCCTGAACTGCAAAATGGGGTGATAATGAAAGTACACACCTCCTATTGTTGCTGGGAAAGCTGAGTCAGTAAGTATGGAATGCTTATAAGAGTGTGCCGAAGCTTTAGGTCGTGCTCAGTGGCTCAGCCTGTAATCCCAGCACTTTGGGAGGCCGAGGCAAGTGGATTGCCTGAGCCCATGGATTCGAGAACAGCCCGAGCAACTTGGCAAGACCTCGTCTCTACAATAAATGCAAAATTAACCAGGTGTGGTAGCTCGTGCCTACAGTTCCAGTTACTTGGAAGGCGGAGGTGGAAGGATCACTGGAACCCAGCAGGTCAACGCTGAGGTGGCTGTGAGTGTGCCACTGCACTCCAGACTGGGTGACAAAGTGAGACGAACTCAAAAGAAAAAAAAAAGAGTGTGCCAAAGTTTTGCTACTGAGTATTATCATTTCTTCACTAGTGGTGATTGTTGTGATAAGAAAGAGGGACCCGCGAAGCTTCCAAGAGGACATGTCTAGGGGGCAGTTAGCTGTGTGGGTCTGGACCTCAGGAAAAGTCTGGGTTGAGATGCATTTTGGACCCATCAGCAGAAGCACTGAGTGAGGTCCCAGTGAAAGTGTGCAGAAGGAAGAGAAAGATGCACCTGAGTGGGCCCCAGGGAAACACCCACGTTGACAGTCCAACAGGAGGCCACGAAGACTGAGAAGGACCCTAGAAGAGGGAGGAGAAGGTGCAGGAGAGGAACAGGCAGGCTGGACAGAAGGGACACAAACCGAGTCACCAACTACCAGGTGCCAAGTGAGGCAAGAGTTGAGGAAGCCCACAGCTCTGGCAACAGAGGCTGTCAGTGACCCCAGAGCAGGCCATGCCGGGTAACGGGGGAGGCCTGGCTGGCGTGGACTGAAGAGGGGACGGGGTAAGGAATAAGGGTGGCAATGTCACCTGGAGGTGAGCAGCCACCAAGAGACTTTAGACACAGTGTGGCTGGAAAAGGGCCCTGCAAAATGTGGAAATGAAGAAAACTTGAGAGACAGAAACAATATGGAGGGCTGAATTCCAAGAAGGAAATGGTAACAGAAAACCCCAATAAAGACAAAGAAGAAGTGGTCCAAATTCTGGAGAGGATAAAAGAGGAACTAGCAATGGCTCAAGCAATGAGCAAGTTGGAAGACTCAGATCTGTGCTCATGGGTAGGGTACATGCCAGAGAGGCCTTGCCTTCCGGGACGCCATGAATCCTGGCCTTCCCACCGCTCCCCGGGGTTGGGTCCCACCCTTGGTGAGCAGGGAGAGACAAGAACACTGGATGAATAAGACCCTGTCTCTTCTCTTAAGCTGCCCAACATACTTCTTTCCATGATGCTTCAATCAAGGTGAATTCTAATCAGAGAAAAGCCAAGGTAAGACGTCGCTCACTTTTGGCAAGGATAGCTCAGGATCATAAAAGAGTAGAACAAGATGTGTCCTCAATTTAACCCACCCATTTTACAGAAGAGAGCAATGAGGTTCCCATCAGGGCCTTGGGGTGTCCAAAATGGAGAGTCCATTCAGTAAATCGTGACTGTGTTGTTTCCATACAAAGGCAGGCAGCTGGGGATGACATAAGCAAGCTGGGGGCAGATGCCCAAGTCACCCATCTCCTTAGCTCCATGGGACCATGAGTCAGCCAAACCCAACTCCCTCCATGTCACACCCCTGGGGTGTTCAGAGCCCAGGCCAAGCCTATGGCAAGAGGTCAAGGGTAGAGGGAGGGTGTGGCAAATTTGGAGAGCAGCCACCCTTTCCCACTGCTGGCATTCTTGACTCAGTAAGTCTCTACTCCATCCCTGAGTCCAGAGGTGCTAGTCAAAGAGGTTTCCAACAGGGCAGCTGGCAGGAGGAACCACATCTGATCTGGCACAAACAAATGAGGTTGGGGACAGGGTGTGGCAAAACCAGATTAGAAGTCGCTGCTTTGATTCAGGTCTGATTGGCCTGAGCTAAGTAGAACTGAATGATTTGAGGTCTGTCTCCTGGGTGGTTTGTTTTCTGTAGGAAGAAGAATTTTCTGAAGGGCAGAAACCCTCAGATTTCTGCATCCATTTCCACCCCATGCTCACCCACAGGGCCTGAACGAAGTTACCCTAAAGTGTCCACCCTTATTCTTGCTACTTGCAATCTGTCTCACTTCTCTGTCTTTGAAGGACAATTCCCACTGCACCTCTAATTTTTCTTTTCTTTTTTTTTTTTTAATAATTAATCAGTATTTTTTATTATGGTTTTGTGGGGTACA